TCCACGAGATGATGAAAGGTGATGCGAGGAATCTGACACGGCGCTGTTGCCCTTCTGTTGTCTTGTGCCAGTCTTGCCCCTCCCCCGTTCTGCCCTAACACTGACTAGTCGCTGACGGCCACAATTCGCACGTTCAGACCCAGATTTTCGGCTGACAGTCCGGTCTTTAAACACTTTAACAATGAGCCCCTCCTGAAAATGTAAAGCATTCTGCTGTTTTGCTGATATTCGCTCCGTGGCTCCGAGCGCCAACAATCATCCCGCGTTCAAAGGCTGTTAAATCGGCACAGTGGTGATCTCTGATGCAATAAGGATTTTTGTTCAGCTCCATTGTGGATGTCGGGCGTTGAACTGATTGGTGGGAATTATCGCTGGTTGCATGCAAAACACGGCCAGCTTCATCTCATTATTTTACAGCTCAATTTCCGACATTCCGCAGGGGAGCTCCGGATGGAGCATTACAAGTGTGCGGATGAGGGGGGGCCAGGTGATGATGTCATACAGTCTCCCTCCATTGGATGTATCTCAGTGATGGGGGAGCCGGTGTTGTCTGCTCCGCTTATATTAGTTATTGCAGCCGATGAAGTCTGGGTAGTCTAAAGCATAGCGCTGGGGGGGGGGTCCCACTGACTCGTGAGATGGTTCTGATACCCCTCCAAGATCCCCTCCAGCTGCTCTCCCCTGTGCTTATATTTGTAGACGATGTGTGATAATGAGGCCCCTGGCATTTGCCGAGCGTGTGGACGATGCATTTTAATTTGTCCATGAAATGTCATTTGTGGTAGAAATTCAGCATGTCCAAGGCATCCAAGTTAATCTCCGTGTTCCTTTCTGTGTTCATTAATAGGACATAATCGCTGTCCCCTCATAGAGATTGCAGCTTTATCCACAGTCCAGGAAGGGAATACATATAAATACAGTGATTGTGTGCGGGGGTGGATTATAAATGCACGGTGCGGATGTCGGGGTTGTATCTGCATGTTGTGTGTGTCAGGGTTGTATCTGCATGTTGAGGGTGTCAGGGTTGTATGTGTACGGTGCGTATGTCAGGGTTGTATGTGTACGGTGCGTATGTCAGGGTTGTATGTGTACGGTGCGTATGTCAGGGTTGTATGTGTACGGTGCGTATGTCAGGGTTGTATGTGTACGGTGCGTATGTCAGGGTTGTATGTGTACGGTGCGTATGTCAGGGTTGTATGTGTACGGTGCGTATGTCAGGGTTGTATGTGTACGGTGCGTATGTCAGGGTTGTATGTGTACGGTGCGTATGTCAGGGTTGTATGTGTACGGTGCGTATGTCAGGGTTGTATGTGTACGGTGCGTATGTCAGGGTTGTATGTGTACGGTGCGTATGTCAGGGTTGTATGTGTACGGTGCGTATGTCAGGGTTGTATGTGTACGGTGCGTATGTCAGGGTTGTATGTGTACGGTGCGTATGTCAGGGTTGTATGTGTACGGTGCGTATGTCAGGGTTGTATGTGTACGGTGCGTATGTCAGGGTTGTATGTGTACGGTGCGTATGTCAGGGTTGTATGTGTACGGTGCGTATGTCAGGGTTGTATGTGTACGGTGCGTATGTCAGGGTTGTATGTGTACGGTGCGTATGTCAGGGTTGTATGTGTACGGTGCGTATGTCAGGGTTGTATGTGTACGGTGCGTATGTCAGGGTTGTATGTGTACGGTGCGTATGTCAGGGTTGTATGTGTACGGTGCGTATGTCAGGGTTGTATGTGTACGGTGCGTATGTCAGGGTTGTATGTGTACGGTGCGTATGTCAGGGTTGTATGTGTACGGTGCGTATGTCAGGGTTGTATGTGTACGGTGCGTATGTCAGGGTTGTATGTGTACGGTGCGTATGTCAGGGTTGTATGTGTACGGTGCGTATGTCAGGGTTGTATGTGTACGGTGCGTATGTCAGGGTTGTATGTGTACGGTGCGTATGTCAGGGTTGTATGTGTACGGTGCGTATGTCAGGGTTGTATGTGTACGGTGCGTATGTCAGGGTTGTATGTGTACGGTGCGTATGTCAGGGTTGTATGTGTACGGTGCGTATGTCAGGGTTGTATGTGTACGGTGCGTATGTCAGGGTTGTATGTGTACGGTGCGTATGTCAGGGTTGTATGTGTACGGTGCGTATGTCAGGGTTGTATGTGTACGGTGCGTATGTCAGGGTTGTATGTGTACGGTGCGTATGTCAGGGTTGTATGTGTACGGTGCGTATGTCAGGGTTGTATGTGTACGGTGCGTATGTCAGGGTTGTATGTGTACGGTGCGTATGTCAGGGTTGTATGTGTACGGTGCGTATGTCAGGGTTGTATGTGTACGGTGCGTATGTCAGGGTTGTATGTGTACGGTGCGTATGTCAGGGTTGTATGTGTACGGTGCGTATGTCAGGGTTGTATGTGTACGGTGCGTATGTCAGGGTTGTATGTGTACGGTGCGTATGTCAGGGTTGTATGTGTACGGTGCGTATGTCAGGGTTGTATGTGTACGGTGCGTATGTCAGGGTTGTATGTGTACGGTGCGTATGTCAGGGTTGTATGTGTACGGTGCGTATGTCAGGGTTGTATGTGTACGGTGCGTGTGTCAGGGTTGTATGTGTATGGTGCGTGTGTCAGGGTTGTATGTGTACGATGCGTGTGTCAGGGTTGTATGTGTACGGTGCGTGTGTCAGGGTTGTATGTGTACGCTGCGTGTGTCAGGGTTTGATGTGTTCGTGCGTGTGTCAGGGTTGTATGTGTACGGTGCGTGTGTCAGGGTTGTATGTGTACGGTGCGTGTGTCAGGGTTGTATGTGTACGGTGCGTGTGTCAGGGTTGTATGTGTACGCTGCGTGTGTCAGGGTTGTATGTGTACGGTGTGTGTGTCATGGCCAATCATTAACGTGTTTGGGGAGGAAGCTCTCGTCCGGTTTGTCTTTACAATGACGACCATTTCCATCATCTGAGCCAATTCTCAAAAGAAAATTGTTTATAGCAAAACTCACCTTTATGTTCCCAATGAAGGAAGCGCATGCCGGGATGTTTGCGTCTGCCATTGTCAGCTCATCTGCCCATCAATGCAGATCGTTCCCAGATTTCAAAATAACCGTTCTGTGGACACGTATAGATTATTAATGAGATGGAAAACTCAAATTAGCCAATTACCGAGAATTGTAAAATGCCACAAAGTAGCCGTGGAATCTCGGTGGTATAATAGTGATTATAAATGAGATCCTGTTTGGGAGGAGAATGGTGATGTGAGGTGACCCTCATCTTGCAGCATTACCCGGGCAGCAGGAAATCCAGAATCTGTGCCAAGTGGGATTTTAAATAGGGAAGCTCAAATACCAGTGCCGATACTTATCAGATACCAGTGCCGATACTTATCAGATACCAGTGTCGATACTGATCAGATACCAGTGCCGATACTGATCAGATCCCAGTGCCGATACTTATCAGATACCAGTGTCGATACTTATCAGATCCCAGTGCCGATACTTATCAGATACCAGTGCCAATACTGATCAGATACCAGTGCCGATACTTATCAGATACCAGTGCCGATACTTATCAGACACCAGTGCCGATACTTATCAGATACCAGTGCCGATACTTATCAGCTACCAGTGCCAATACTTATCAGCTACCATTGCCGATACTGATCCGATACCAGTGCCGATACTGATCAGATACCAGTGCCGATACTTATCAGATCCCAGTGCCGATACTTATCAGATCCCAGTGCCGATACTTATCAGATCCCAGTGCCGATACTTATCAGATCCCAGTGCCGATACTTATCAGATCCCAGTGCCGATACTTATCAGATCCCAGTGCCGATACTTATCAAATACCAGTGCCGATACTTATCAGATCCCAGTGTCGATACTTATCAGATCCCAGTGCCGATACTTATCAGATACCAGTGCCGATACTGATCAGATACCAGTGCCGATACTTATCAGATACCAGTGCCGATACTTATCAGATACCAGTGTCGATACTTATCAGATCCCAGTGCCGATACTTATCAGATCCCAGTGCCGATACTTATCAGATACCAGTGCCGATACTTATCAGATACCAGTGTCGATACTTATCAGATCCCAGTGCCGATACTTATCAGAGCCCAGTGCCAATACTTATCAGCTACCATTGCCGATATTGATCCGATACCAGTGCCGATACTGATCAGATACCAGTGTCGATACTTATCAAATACCAGTGCCGATACTTATCAGATCCCAGTGTCGATACTTATCAGATCCCAGTGCCGATACTTATCAGATACCAGTGCCGATACTGATCAGATACCAGTGCCGATACTTATCAGATACCAGTGCCGATACTTATCAGATACCAGTGCCGATACTTATCAGATACCAGTGCCGATACTTATCAGATACCAGTGCCGATACTTATCAGATACCAGTGCCGATACTTATCAGATACCAGTGCCGATACTTATCAGATACCAGTGCCGATACTTATCAGATACCAGTGCCGATACTTATCAGATACCAGTGTCGATACTTATCAGATCCCAGTGCCGATACTTATCAGATCCCAGTGCCGATACTTATCAGATACCAGTGCCGATACTTATCAGATACCAGTGCCGATACTTATCAGATACCAGTGCCGATACTTATCAGATACCAGTGCCGATACTTATCAGATACCAGTGCCGATACTTATCAGATACCAGTGCCGATACTTATCAGATACCAGTGCCGATACTTATCAGATACCAGTGCCGATACTTATCAGATACCAGTGCCGATACTTATCAGATCCCAGTGCCGATACTTATCAGATACCAGTGCCGATACTTATCAGATACCAGTGTCGATACTGATCAGATACCAGTGCCGATACTTATCAGATACCAGTGCCGATACTTATCAGATACCAGTGTCGATACTTATCAGATCCCAGTGCCGATACTTATCAGATCCCAGTGCCGATACTTATCAGATACCAGTGCCGATACTTATCAGATACCAGTGTCGATACTTATCAGATCCCAGTGCCGATACTTATCAGATCCCAGTGCCAATACTTATCAGCTACCATTGCCGATATTGATCCGATACCAGTGCCGATACTGATCAGATACCAGTGTCGATACTTATCAAATACCAGTGCCGATACTTATCAGATCCCAGTGTCGATACTTATCAGATCCCAGTGCCGATACTTATCAGATACCAGTGCCGATACTGATCAGATACCAGTGCCGATACTTATCAGATACCAGTGCCGATACTTATCAGATACCAGTGCCGATACTGATCAGATACCAGTGCCGATACTTATCAGATACCAGTGCCGATACTTATCAGATACCAGTGCCGATACTGATCCGATACCAGTGCCGATACTGATCAGATACCAGTGCCGATACTGATCCGATACCAGTGCCGATACTGATCCGATACCAGTGCCGATACTGATCAGCTACCAGTGCCGATACTCATCAGATACCAGTGCCGATACTGATCAGATACCAGTGCCGATACTTATCAGATACCAGTGCAGATACTTGGCATTTTCACGAGAACTCCCAGGGTTGCAGCGGTTGCAGCTGGGGCCCGGGCTCTGGCACTCCACCACTGTCCTGAAATCATTCGTCTGTATTGTTTTAGAAAAACTGTC